AGCGACGTTGTCCTCACTGGGCACTCAGACGCTTCTTGGGTTGACGACCAGGCTACGCAGCGGTCGTCACAGGGTTACACCTTCAGCCTTGGCTCTGGTTCGGTTTCGTGGCGTTTTACACGCTCGTCTTCAGTTCTCAGCTCCAGTTGTGAGGCTGAGATCTACGCCACAGCCATGGCTGCACAGGAGTTACGCTGGCTCACCTACCTGCTGACCGACTTGGGAGAGCGGCCTCGTTCTCCTCCAGTGCTGTACGTCGACAACAAGGCCGCCATTGCCTTGTGTCAGGAGCACAGACTGGAGCACAGAACGAAGCACATCGCTCTGCGTTACTTCCTCGCTCGAGAGTTGCAGCAGCGTGGTCAGCTTCGTCTTGCTCACGTGGCCAGTCGGGCCAACACTGCTGATATATTCACCAAGGCGCTTCCGTCTGGTGATCATCAGCGTTTCTGCACTCTGTTAGGCCTTGTGCCCACGTTTCCTCCCTTGCTGTAGACTTTGCTTGTACTGTGATCTATATATATACCTGTATGCTTGCTCTGCTAGGTAGAGATCACTGTGCTGTTGTTGTTGCATATATACCCCTGCATGTGAACTGGCCTTGTGGCCCTTTGCTTGTGCTCAGGTTGTGTGGTGACGTTGTGATCCACCCTGAGCTTGCTTTGCTTCTCTTGCTCTCCCCCACTTTGCCTATGGGGGTGTGTCAAAACATATGCTTGTTATACATGTGTAGGCTGTAGTGGGGTAGCCAATATGGGGTACAGCCCCTTTTAGGGTTTCATACTTGTACCCAACTCCCTGATAGTTCATTCATTCCTGTCTCTTGATTCTGACAACAATGACATGGAGGAGGTCGTGGGAAGCATGCTATTTCCATTGGGATGAGATTGTTGACATGTTTGGCGAGGGGAGGGTGAGATGGATGTGAGGCCAAACCAAACAACCAGTCTGGATTTGGAATTTTGGTGTGTTTGCAGTAAGTTTGGTCTGTTTAGTACCTTGCTGAAGGTTTGGAGGGAGTTATGTGAAGGTAGCAGGTTAGTTACACGCACACCACACCACAGTCTACTTGGCATGATGCCAAACCCGTACGAAAAGAGAACTCCTTGGCTTCGTTTACAAATCAAGGTGTTTAGAATATTGACGTGGATGCCAGCAGATGGCAGCAGATGGCGCGCACAATGATTGAAGCGAAAAATGCATATTGTGTCTCGAATGAGCAAAGAGAAACATGAAAGAAACATGGATCTGTGTGTGATACGTGCCAGCCAACAAAAGCACGCGTGAGTGCATGAATTCCTCATTACGAAACAAAGTGATGACTGCAAGAGCATGTTGTATGCCTGTATGAGATGGTACTATGGTTGTGAGTGAAAGTAAGCTAAACAATTAGCAGCCAATGATTTCACTTATAACATTACCAAGCAAGCGTATAACGGCCTACCATTTGTGCATCCTACCCATGTGAGTTTGACCCATTTCTCCTCATGCGCTTCGCTGCCACACTTTCCCCCACATGCACAGCTTTGCGCCTAGAAAGCTCAGGTTGTTCGCCAGTCCTCTCGAATGCAATTTTCGCCACCCCACAGTCCCCCTCCCCCTTGGCGGCTCGACCTGGTCATTGGCGAAAACAAGGTCCGCACCAGCCGCATCGACAGCTGGTAACGAATTCAGTGGCCCCTCCATTTACTCGCTGACCACTTCAAGGGGTCTCACGTAAAATTTTCGCATACTGTCGCCGCTCTCGCAAGTACCGCCAGCTGGTTGGGTTGAATTGAAGGCCAATGTCGCCATGCGCCATGGGGGAAAATCGTGAGTATGGAGCTAGCTACCCCTCCTTCGCTCTATCCCAAAAGAGACAAACACTCGTATCCCAGCCGAGGCATCCTTGTGCAAAAAGCTCCACCCAACTCTGTACCAACTTCCAACTTCCGTCTTCCTCCTCTTACATCCTGCGCTAATTGTAGCTTGTCCCTCCTCGGTAGCTTATTCCGGGCAACCACTCACTCCTGCTACTTCTAGTAAGCAGTACGCACCGTCACAATGACCGTAATCAGACCGCATCGTGCTCCACACCATGCAACACGTCACGCACCAATCGCGACTCTCCTCGTCGTCATCGTGCTCGCCCTAAAATCACACGCTGCCAGTTTCACGATAAGTCGACCAGCCACCGACAGCCCCCGCGGCAGAAAACTAGGAGAGATGCCGACTCCGCGCCCCGCAGATCCACGTCGCGCCGCGCCGTCGCGCAGTAGAGGCTTGCACGAGCTGGGCGTGCGGGAGCAGGAGACGCTCCTATCGGGGACCATCATTATCGAGCAACCGGAATCCGCCATCGGCGCGGTCGAGATCTACGTCGACGACGGCATGCACGCCGAAGCTCGCAGTCGCAACGCAGTCGCCGTTAGTCGCAGCGCTGTCGGCAATGATCGCCTCTCTTCAAAACCTGCCGCAAAGGTTCCCAATTTCCCAACTGCCGCTTCCACCAGCTCGTTCGATTCCCGCGCGACTCCCGCTTCCCGCTCCCTCGATCTTTCCGCGCTCGCCGCGGAGGCGAGCGACAATGCGGCTGGCGCAGCAGTGGGATCTGGCGACGTGTCAACGACGTGCGACATCAGCGACGGGATGTGGGAGTCGGATGCTAACCGACCGCTGTATTCCAGTCTCGACTGCCCGTTTATTCACGCTGCGACGCAGTGCGACGCGCACGGGCGACCGGATAAAGGGTACCAGAAGCTCCGGTGGCGACCGACGTGCGACAATGCGACGGCCGGCGACGGTGCGACGGCGGCGGGCGGCGGCTGCGACGCGATGCCGCAACTGACGGCGAAGAGCGCGTGCGACCTGATGCGAAACAGGAACGTCGCTTATGTGGGGGACTCGATCGTACGCAACCATTTCAACTCGCTCGCGTGTATCATGTTCGGTACGCAAGGCGAACCCGAGGTCCTGGGCAGCCATCCGTACGCGCAAGTGTACCACTGGCCGAGTTGTAACGCCACGGTGGCGTTCTACTGGAGCCATTTCCTCGTGAACCTCACCCTGATCGACCAGCACGTGTTCAACACGGGCGGCGAGCTCGACCTAGAGAATCCCGACGACTGGTGGTTCCGGCACTTTAACGAACACGATATTTTCGTTATAAGCGCGGGGCAATGGTGGTCGTCGGTGCGCATACAGGGGAAGAACATTCATTTTGCGAGCCCGAACACCGACGTGCCGCTATTTGACGCGTACCAGACCGCGCTCTACTCCGTCCTCCGACCATTCGAGGACTTTAGAAGTACCGGCAAGCAGGTAGTTCTGACGCTCGTGCCGCCCACGCACGGGTTCCACGGCAGCTGTTCGGCCACGCAGCCGGTTAGTGCGGAGGCGGCGCGTTCGAAGGATTATCCCGAGGCGAAGTACAACATCCTTCTCGCTGACGTGGCGCGGCGGTACGAGGCGCGTCGGGCGAAGCGCGGGCACGGCGCGCCGCTGATGCTTCTGGACATTTTCGGGATGTCGTTAATGCGATGGGACGGGCATCCCGGGGGGTATTCCGGCGGGGGTAACATCGACTGCGGGCACTATTGCTTGCCAGGGGTGCCGGACTCGTGGAATGAAATGATGCTGGGGCTTCTGTGGCTGCAGGACGGGCGAGGGAGAGCAGAGGTAGCGGGGGGAGTGAGAGGAGGGAGAGTTAGATGAGTGGAGGCGGTGGGTGGAGGGATGTGAGGAGATGAAGGGCTGGCAGAGCGAGATGAGGGGGGTGGAGGGGGAAGTGGGAGGTTGCTGGAGAAATGATAGTTGTGAGGGTGGATGTGTGGTCCACCATGTGAGGAAGCAAGCAGACATGCCATGCCATGGTTGAGCTTGTTCACGTGATGATTCTTGCTTCATGACATGCCATGCATGGTTGAGCTTCTCTGATAGCGGTGGAGCTGAGAAAAGAGCATGGGACTTGGAGACTGAATGCTCACACTAAAAAGCATGGCCTTCATGCATCTGTACTGGATAAATAAGTTGTGGCAAGGAGCTGTGCTGGAGGGGATGGTTGTGGCTGGACGTATGTTCTAAGGTGCCAGCCAGACTCTATATGCTGGAATAATGCCACATGGAATAAGGCATAGACGCTAATAAGACTGGTACCGTGCACGAGACCTCTGGAATAGTATGTATGCCATTTTATTTGATGTTTTTTTGAGGTACATACTTGGGCTTTCGCGATTTCGTGACTCGGACGTTTCCTAAATCTGCTTTATAGCGCGAATGCCGAATTCCAAACTCGAGCCAAATACACATCACACCCGAGAAAGCCGCAATTCCCAAGGATCTTCCAGGGCCTCTCTACTTGTGGATGACGCTGCAAGGAGGCTCTCTTCGGTTATTCCGTGTCTAATCAGTCACGCCCATCATCTGTTTTTAGGGTAAGATAAACGAGCGTAGACTAAGCGAAGCTCGCACGTTTATTAATCGCGTCAGCCACCAACAACGTGCGCTAAGCAAATCTGAGCCGCAGCTGTTACGGACGTTGCAGGCCCTTCGTATCGCCATACTTTCTGCTGCTTGGCTCGGCATAGTCGGCTAGCGATGGCATCGGCTGTGCGGGGAAAACTTCTTAGCCCTTGGCCTTGACTCCCGACGCCAACAGCTTCGCCGGTTGTCACGGGCAGCGAGAGTCCCTAAGGCCAAACCTGCAGTCACTAACGCTAGCAGTAGTTCCCGACGCTAGCGAGCACGGTCCCCGACGGCGATAGTCCCTGACGCCAGCAGCAACATTACGTGACGGAACCAGCATCACCGCCTGACGACAGTAGCGACGCTCCGTGACGCCAGCAGCGACACTCCCTGACGCCAGCAGCAGTGTTTCCTAAGGCTAGCAGCGCGCCGATGGCTCTGTTCAGCTCGGGTGTACCGTTGCAAGGAGGAGGGGTAAGACGTACGGGTAGGGTGAGGGGGAGGGGGGGGAGGATGGGGGTGGGGGGAAAATCACAGGAGTAGGATGAAGCGCGCCGATGGCCCTGTTCAGCTCGGGTGTGCCGCTGCAAGGAGCAGGGGTAAGGCGCACGGGTAGGGCGACGGGGGGTAAGCCATAGGGCAGGTCCGTTTTCCTTTTATCTCCAGTTTCGTTCCATCTTCTCCCCAGCAGCAACACTCCCTGACCCCAGAAGCGCGCCGATGGGTCTGTTCAGCTCGGGTGTACCGCCGCAAGGAGGAGGGGTAAGACAAGGGGTAGGGTGCAGATGGTAGAGCGCACGGGGGTAAGACGTAAGGGTGGGGCGACGAGGAGCGCGTGAGCTAAGGGCTAGCAGCGCGCCGATGGCCCTGTTCAGCTCGGGTGTACCTCTCCAAGGAGGAGGGGTAAGACGCAGGGGTTGGGCGACCGGGAATGTGTGAGCTAGGGGCGAGAAACAGCGTGTGAGAAGGCAACCTCCCCCCTCCCCCCTGCTCCGTTACCCCCGTTCCTCATCTCTCCTTCCATCTCGCATCCTCCCATCCTTACCCGTGCGCCTCCTCCCCTCCTCACCCTTGCTCTTCTCTCCCCCCCCTCCCCTGCTCCCTCCTCCCAATCTTACCCACCTTCCCTCCTCCCGTCCTCTCTCCTCCCAGGTGGGCCTTCAGATTCTCCTAGCCGCCAGCTCATCGTCGAGTATGAATTTCCTCCCATCCCCCCATACTTCTCCTCCCGTCCTCTCTCCTCCCTCCCTCTCCCCGTGCAGGTGGGCCTTCATGTTCTACTGGCAGCCAGCTCATCATCCATCGTCATCCGAGATGCCAAGTGCGACCCTCGCCTCATCCCGCCCTCAATCTTGTTTCCCGGTTCCCTCCCCTCCTCTCTTCTCCCTCCCTCACCCCCTTTGCAGGTGGGCCTTCATGTTCTACTGGCGGCCAGCTCATCATCCATCGTCATCCGAGCCTCCTGTGCCCTCCTCTCCTCCCTTCCGCTCCCCCTTTTGCCTCCTCCCTCCCTCTCTCCCCCTGCAGGTGGGCCTTCAGATTCTCCTGGCGGCCAGCTCATCATCCATCGTCATCCGAGCCGCCAAGTACAATGCTCGCCCCCTCAGTGGCGTGCCTACCATACGCATTTCTACCGACGCGTCCCCTTCCCCTGCAGGTGGGCCTTCAGATTCTCCTGGCAGCCAGCTCATCATCCATCGTCATCCGAGCAGCCAAGTACGAGTCTCCCCTCCCCCCCAACTTCCTCCCTGCTCCTTCTTCCACTTCTCCTCCTTTCAAATCGCCTTATGCCATCAAGCATCATCCCGCGGATTCTGCTTTGAGCCTCATTCCCCGTTTTATGACCTTTTGTTGTCGGTTCCCCTCTCGTCCCACCATTCTTGCTCCCGGCTGTTTCCCTCACTGCCCTTCTCTTTTTCCCTCACTGTCGGTCCCACCAGTCTAGTGGTGGGCGTGGGCTTTCCTGTCTTCCGCTCATCAAGGCCATTGAGGAGGGCTCGCAATAACCTCACCTCTCTCAACCTCTGCTAACCCCTTCCACCCCATCCACTACCAGTTTGGTGGTGGGCGTGGGCTTTCCTGTCTTCCGTTCATTTAACGCCATTGAGGAGGGCTCTCAGGCGGATCGCAACCGATGCCTTGCATACTGGTCGGGTGAGTGGTGAGGTGAGAGGTGGGGGTGAGTGGTGAGTTGAGTAGAGAGAGTGGTACATGTCTGCTTCTTTCAAATCAGGAGTGCAGCAATGCCGGAGCAACAGCGTTGAGGGCTCTCAGGCGGATCGCAACCGATGCCTCGCGTTCTGGTCGGGTGAGTAGTGAGGGTGGGCGGTTGAGAGTAATTTGTGCCTCTTTTTCCCGCATATTTAGATAGGAGTGCAGCAGTGGCTGAGCAACAGGATTGAGGAGGGCTCTCAGGCGGATCGCAACAGATGCCTCGCCTGCTGGTCGGGTGAGTAGTGAGGGTGATGGGGCAGTAGTGAGGGTGGTGGGGTGAGCAGTGAGGATGATGCGGTGAGTGGTGAGGATGGTGCGGTGAGTGGTGAGGATGGTGCGGTGAGTGGTGAGGATGGTGCGGTGAGTGGTGAGGATGGTGCGGTGAGTGGTGAGGATGGTGCGGTGAGTGGTGAGTGAGGATGGTGCGGTGAGTGGTGAGGATGATGCGGTGAGTGGTGAGGATGGTGCGGTGAGTGGTGAGGATGATGCGGTGAGTGGTGAGGATGGTGCGGTGAGTGGTGAGGATGGTGCGGTGAGTGGTGAGGATGGTGGGGTGAGCAGTGAGGATGATGCGGTGAGTGGTGAGGATGGTGCGGTGAGTGGTGAGGATGGTGCGGTGAGTGGTGAGGATGGTGCGGTGAGTGGTGAGGATGGTGCGGTGAGTGGTGAGGATGGTGCGGTGAGTGGTGAGGATGGTGGGGTGTTGAGGATGGTGGCGCTAGTTAGTGTCCCTTTACGTGGCCCTCTCATGCAGTTGCAGTTGCAGTAGCAGTAGCAGTTTGAGTTTCAGTTGCAGTTGCAACTGCTTACCTCCCATGACATTTAATGCCACGGCGCCAAATGCGACTCTTCTTTCCTTGTGCATATTCACAAACGTGGCACTACATCATGGCATGCATGGCATGCATGATGGTATGACGGTATGATGGCACATATGGCATGGATGGCATGGATGGCATGGATGGCATGGATGGCATGGATGGCATGGATGGCATGGATGGCATGGATGGCATGGATGGCATGGATGGCATGGATGGCATGGATGGCATGGATGGCATGGATGGCATGGATGGCATGGATGGCATGGATGGCATGGATGGCATGGATGGCATGGATGGCATGGATGGCATGGATGGCATGGATGGCATGGATGGCATGGATGGCATGGATGGCATGGATGGCATGGATGGCATGGATGGCATGGATGGCATGGATGGCATGGATGGCATGGATGGCATGGATGGCATGGATGGCATGGATGGCATGGATGGCATGGATGGCATGGATGGCATGGATGGCATGGATGGCATGGATGGCATGGATGGCATGGATGGCATGGATGGCATGGATGGCATGGATGGCATGGATGACATGGATGGCAGTGTACGGTTGCTTTCGGGTAGTGGAGACAATCACAGACAGGATCATATCATGGTGAGTGATACTACCATACCTCTTCACCACCACTCATATGGCCCCTTCATGAGGCGCCTCAAAACTGCGAGACATGAGACAACATCTGAGGCGCCTCAAAAGAAACAATCACAGACAGGATCATATCATGGTGAGTGATACTACCATACCTCGTTTTGCCTCTTCCCTCGCTCATATCACCCTCATCATTCCCCCCGTCTCTTGTCTTTTTCTTTTCCCAACACCCCCCCCCCCCTTTTCTCACCCACCCAACTCATTTTCCTCCCCCACTTCTTCCCGCCTCATTCTATGTGTAATCACTATATGCAGTTCGATTCTCCACCACTCTCGCACCCCCCTTCCCATCCCCAACCCCCCCGCACCCCTCCTCCCCCTCCCCCCTTCCTCACGGCTCCTTACGCTGATACATACAAGCATCCAATACCCTCCTCGTCGTTCGTTCCCATCATATCGTGCCCTCTGCTTCTTCCTTGCCTTTAAACCCTCTCACCCTTCCCATGCTACCCTTCTACCAACACATTCAGCTGCTGTTGCATGGCCCAATATGACCATATCATGCCTTCCGCTTCTTCCCTCCCCCTCTCCCCCCCCCAGGCTACCCTTTACCAGTACATCCAGCTGCACTTCTCCTGCTGCTGTGAGCATATCATGCCCTCCGCTTCTTCCTCCCCCCCTCTCCCTCTCCCCCCCAGGCTGCCCTTCTACCAGCACATCAAGCTTCTCCTATTGCTCTGCCTGCAACTGCCCTCCACCTCCTCTTGTACTGCATGCCCCAATACAAGTGTATCACGTGTTCCTTTCTCCCCACCTCCCCCCCAAGGCTACCTTTCTACCAGCACATCAAGCTCCTCCTGCTGCTCTGGTTGCAGCTGCCCTCCACCTCCTCCTCCCGCCCTGCCACGGTAGTCAACCCCACTCCTCTCTCTCTCCTCTGCCCTCTTGCTTCACTGCTTCCTTCCTCACATTCTTACACTGCACCTTCCCATCTCTGTGCCGTGTACCTTACTCCTCCTTCCATCCGCCACTCGGCCCTCTTGCTTCCTTGCCTCGTCACTATCCTTGCCTCACCTCCTCATCTTGTTTTTTATTTCAAGTAACTCTTGTGCAAGCCTCATATCTGACTACACCTCGCTTCTAATATTTTCCCGGTTACTTTCCTGGTATTTTCCTGCTATTGTCATGGTGATTTCCCTGCTGTTGTACATTTTTCTCCTCATATTCTTTCAATATTCTCCCTCTGTTATTCTGATGTTCTCCTGAAGTTTTCGGCCAACTGGCACCATACCATCATGCCACCACACCTAACCGCTTTTAACCATTCCAACATATGACCAACCGTGTCCCACCGCACAACACTGCAGGGTGCAGGGCGGCTGTATGCAAGCCACCTGAGGCCCGTGCTGCTGCGTTACCGGCGGCACATCGACGGGGCGCTCGTTAGCATCGACCGCTGCATGGTACGTGCTGCTGCTAGGCTGCTGCATGCATGGTACGTGCTGCTGCTAGGCTGCTGCATAGAGGAGGTAACGACCAGTCTGCTGCTGCGTTACCGGCGGCACATTGACGGGGCGCTCGTTAGCATCGACCGCTGCATGGTATGTGCTGCTGCTAGGCTGCTGCATAGAGGAGGTAACGACCAGTCTGCTGCTGCGCTATCGGCGGCACATTGACGGGGCGCTCGTTAGCATCGACCGCTGCATGGTATGTGCTGCTGCCAGGCCTCTGATGCATGGTGTGAGAAGCAGTCACTGCATGGTATGTGCTGCCAGGCCTCTGATGCATGGTGTGAGAAGCAGTCACTACATGGTATGTGCTGCCAGGCCTCTGATGCATGGTGTGAGAAGCAGTCACTGCATGGTATGTGCTGCCAGGCCTCTGATGCATGGTGTGAGAAGCAGTCACTACATGGTATGTGCTGCCAGGCCTCTGATGTATGGTGTGAGAAGCAGTCACTACATGGTATGTGCTGCCAGGCCTCTGATGCATGGTGTGAGAAGCAGTCACTACATGGTATGTGCTGCCAGGCCTCTGATGCATGGTGTGAGAAGCAGTCACTACATGGTATGTGCTGCCAGGCCTCTGATGCATGGTGTGAGAAGCAGTCACTACATGGTATGTGCTGCCAGGCCTCTGATGCATGGTGTGAGAAGCAGTCACTACATGGTATGTGCTGCCAGGCCTCTGATGCATGGTGTGAGAAGCAGTCACTACATGGTATGTGCTGCCAGGCCTCTGATGCATGGTGTGAGAAGCAGTCACTACATGGTATGTGCTGCCAGGCCTCTGATGCATGGTGTGAGAAGCAGTCACTACATGGTATGTGCTGCCAGGCCTCTGATGCATGGTGTGAGAAGCAGTCACTACATGGTATGTGCTGACAGGCCTCTGATGCATGGTGTGAGAAGCAGTCACTACATGGTATGTGCTGCCAGGCCTCTGATGCATGGTGTGAGAAGCAGTCACTACATGGTATGTGCTGCCAGGCCTCTGATGCATGGTGTGAGAAGCAGTCACTACATGGTATGTGCTGCCAGGCCTCTGATGCATGGTGTGAGAAGCAGTCACTACATGGTATGTGCTGCCAGGCCTCTGATGCATGGTGTGAGAAGCAGTCACTACATGGTATGTGCTGCCAGGCCTCTGATGCATGGTGTGAGAAGCAGTCACTACATGGTATGTGCTGCCAGGCCTCTGATGCATGGTGTGAGAAGCAGTCACTACATGGTATGTGCTGCCAGGCCTCTGATGCATGGTGTGAGAAGCAGTCACTACATGGTATGTGCTGCCAGGCCTCTGATGCATGGTGTGAGAAGCAGTCACTACATGGTATGTGCTGCCAGGCGTCTGATGCATGGTGTGAGAAGCAGACACTACATGGTATGTGCTGCCAGGCGTCTGGTATATGGTCTGAGTAGCAACCTCTAGCTGGTTCAGGTTGGGAATAGCTTGTTGCCGCGCTATCGGCGGCACATCGACGGTGCGTTAATGAGCATTGACCGTTGCATGGTATGTGCTGCCATGCCTCTGGTATCTGGTCTAAGCAGCAACTGCTAGAAGGATCATCAGGTAGGGAACAGCTTGCTGCAGCAGCACCAGCGGCACATTGACGGGGCGCTTGTTAGCATCGACCGCTGCATGCTAGGCCTCTGATGTATGGTGCGAGAAGCAGTCACTACATGGTATGCGTTCCCAGCCCCACGGTATATAGCCTAAGAAGCAACCATTAATAAGGATGGTATATCTTGCTAGTGATTTGATATGTTGGAATGCGGTTAGATTACTTTTGAGAAGATTCGAAAGTGTTACAAGCATATGCTGTTAGGCTCATGGTATGTTGGATTGACTTTGAAGCGCCTCAAAAGTCGTTATGCTAGGCTTATGGTATGCTAGAATGACCGTGAACTGCTGCATGGTTCTGCATAGTTTGCCTGTGGTATGCTGAAATGCAATGTATGCTACACCACATGCACGAGCATACAGCATTGCATGGAATGACTGCGCCATCCTTCACTCCATCTCATCCTCTTCGCCCTCCCTCCCTCGCCTCTGCCTCCCCGCACATCCCTTCCCAACAGGAGTCTTGCTTCCACGCCCACCGATAGGAGCTCTCTGCTGCACCTCCTTGTCCCCCAACTCACCTTCTTCCAAGTTTCTCCCTCACGCCATCCTTCTGCCCCTTCCCTCCCTAGGCCTCCTGGTTCCACGCGCACCAGGAGGAGCTCTCTGCTGCAGCATGTATGGTCCTCTTTTCTTGTCCCACACTGGCACCTTTCTTATCCTTCATCTCATCTCATCCTCCTCACACCCCCCATCTCCTTCCCCCCTCCCCCTCCCCTTCAGGCGTCCTGGTTCCACGCCCACCAGGAGGAGCTCTCTGCTGCAGCACGCATGGCCCAGTCAGCAACCAGGGCAGGTACTACCGGGGCAGGTAGTACTGGGGCAGGTACTACTGGGGCGGGTATTACTGGGGCAGGTGCTACTGGGGCAGGTACTGGGGAAAGTACTACCTGGGCAGATATCACTAGGGTAGGTATCAGATTTCAGTTGCAGTTTTTTTTTGGGGACAAGCATGCTTAGAGCACGGGGAATTCCTGTGACTATAACGAAGCAGACACAGGACATGGTGTTCCATGCTGCAGGGTGTAAGGTGACGACAATCAAGGATGATGGTGTCTGGTCATGGCAATGAGGTTTGACTATGGTTCATGAAGCTTGCTCGTAGGCAGCACCTGCTTACCGCTCCTGCTTGCACCCCCGTCTTCCCCTGACCCGACCCCAATCCCCTGAGCAGCACTCACTGCTCTGGACTCTGCAGTTTCCACAGCTGCTGGGGCCCTCCCACCCACTGCTGCTGCCACGTCAGCGGCAGATGCTGATACCAGGAATGATGTCGCTGATGATGTCAGCAGAGCCAACAGGGACGGTGGTGAGCTGCATGACGTGGCAGGTGGAGGAGAGTCGGGGGAGGAGGGGGACGGGCGGGGGGGGAGCGGAATTGGGGGAGGGAGGAGGTGAGGGGGTAATTAGAGTTCAGGGGGGCAGGGACGAAGGGAGGTGATTCATAAATGAATTTGAGAAGCTGTAGTCGGTTTTACGCTAATTGTATAGGTTATTCTGCTGTAGGGACATGCTAAGGCTTCTTAGTTCTTTGTACATAGGGCCGTTGCCATGCAATTCCGCTTTCTGTTACGGTATTTCAATCTTATACAGTTGCAAGTTTTCTCAATCAGGAGATGCTCTCTACACTTCTTTCGAGCCTGGTGGGAAGCCACCGAGAGCCCTTGGGATTTGTTTTCTCTGCTGCTCGAGTCCTCGGTTCTTGTTCCTTGGCTGGAAGAAAGGCTGGCAGCAGCTGAAGCAGCAAAGGCAAGCCCTGTTTCTCTTAGCACAGCAGCAACCCAAACTCCGATTCTCTGTCTAGCATCTTCCGTTGCGGCTCACTTCGTTTCTGTCTCACACGTTGCTCCAATGGCTTGTCATCGGCCTTCCGCGGAGTCGCGGTGTTGCTCCGCACTCAGCGCGTTGCGTCTGCGCGCGACTAGGCTTCTGCTGCAGTGCAGCCGGAACGAACCCGCTCGGCTGTGTGCGGCCGTTAAAGGCTCGTGATTTGCCGCCTCCCCACGCCTGAAGACGATGACTGCAAGGTGTGTTTTTTGTGAGTGGCGACTCAATGACTTTTGATTAATCGAATATTCGCTCTGTTTCCGCGATTTTTTGAAGTTTTTTTTACTGCCGCACCGCACTCTTTCTGCGCACTGTTCTCGTTTCCCCGCCGCTTTACGCAGCCGCTATCGGTTACTCGCACAATGGAAAGCTCAAACTAGTTTTCGCGCAGCGATTTCTCGTGCCGCCGCTCGAAGCTGTCCGTGCCGTACCCTCGGGTGCGGCGTCGGCGCGGCTCGATAGGTTCGGTGGCGGCCGTATCGCTGCGCGAAGAGCGCCCGCCGCCTCCCTGCTTGGGCTGGCGCAGCGATGCGCGGCTGGCGGAGCCCCGATTGCGGCGATGCGGAGGCCTCCTCCGCATCGCCGCGGCCGCGCGAGCTCGCCCGCCGCGCGTCGATTCCCCGTCGCGCCAGCCTCAATGCGGAGGTGCTCATAACGAAGCTAGACTTCAAATCGAGTCACCCAGAGCACGCGCAGAGCCACAATTTCATGCCTGAAGATACTCTATGTCTCATGCCTGCGCTCATTGTGACTAAGCCGCCCTCCCGACGTATCTCGTTCGCTCCTTCCCTCTCCCTCTGTCAATTTTGAGTGCAGGTTCTCGTCGCGCCCTTTCATGTGACCGCGCTTCCATCTCCCTGTCGCTCTGCTGCGTGGCGCTGCTGAATGAATGAGGTGAGGCCATATGAGAAATGAGGCGAGTCCCTATTTGCCGCGATAAACGTACGATCTGAGGCACCTGAATTGTGGAATGCTGTGCTCAGCGCAGGGTCACTGCCGCCCTGCTCGTACCATGCAGTGCCACGTCAGCGCATGGATGTTCTTCCACGCGGCATGCATTCATCGGTGCCAGCGTGGATTTGAACCGTGCGCATACCGACGCACTCGCGCATGCCTCGTGCTTCCGCGCGCGGCATCGCCGCTCCACCCCTTGCGCTCCCCGCATCCGCCGCGCGCCTCTTTGGGGGCGCGGGTGGAATCTCGTGCGCTGAGGCTGTTTGGGGGGGAGGCACACTGCAGAGCAATGCAGTGCTATCCCTTTTTTCCTGCAGACCAATAGCATGTGCTATCAGTCGCAATATCCGCGCGCCTCTTTGGGAGCGCGGGCGAAATCCCTTTTTCTACAATTTCCGTATGTCTCTGAGTTGGTGTAAATCTGAGGTCTTGCCGTGCGTGTGTCCGTTTCGTTGCATGCCTCAGTTTGTCACACCACTTTCCTGCACGTGATGATGCCGTAGGGACATCGGAACTCCCAAGGGAGTAGTGACCGATCCAAAATACGGAATTTATGGGAATCTCTCTGATGCAGGAGCCCACCTATGCAATTACGTCTCTCTCTCTCGTTCGTCTCGCCCGGCTCAAATCTTTGCTTGCCCGCCTCTTCTTTCAGCAGTGGGTCCTATCAGTGCTCCTCTCCCCGTAACCCTCTCCCAACCCTTTCCACCGAGCCCTCTTCCCGCAACCCTCTCCCTACAACTAAACGTTTGATACGTGTTAGAATGCTTAGCTTGCCCGCGTCGACTTTTCAGGAGTGGGGCCTACCAGTCCACTTTCCTCGTAACCCTCTCCCAACAATTGACCGCTTGACATGTTTCAAAGGGCTTATCTTTCTCGCGTCGACTTTTCAGGAGTGGGGCCTACCAGTGCTCCTCTCCCCGTAATCCGACGCCACATCGTCCCTCCGCGTCCCCTCCCTTTTCCGCCTTCCCCCCAATGGGATCCGCGGTCATGGGGCTAGCGGACATTCCCCCTTCCCCCCTCTGCGCCCTCTGCGCGCTTTGTGCCGCCTGCTCCCTCTGCGCCTCCCCGCATCGATGATTTCCGCGCCTCCTCACGGGTCGCCGCTTCGCCATTGGCTGATCCTGTTGCTCTTTTCGCTCCCTTTCTCCCCGCACCATTACAACGTGCAACTGGCAGGAGTATGGAAGGCTCAAATCAGCGATCGCCTGAACAACGGGAGCCACGTGGGAGTCCCTTCCGCGTAGGAGCGACGTGGATCCACGCGGGAGCCACATGGGAGCCGACTGGTGGCGCGCGCGGTCAGTGCTCTGTTGGCTGCAGCTCACCCTTCGATCTGAGCCGTCGATCTCTGCGCCCGTCGCCGATTCCACGCATGGCGCCTCTCGCCTCGCCTCGCCCCGGCGCTCCCCTTGAGGCGCCTCGAAAGGCGCGTGTCGTTGGTTCGAGCCATGGCGCCTCGAACTGGCGCTCCGTCGAGCCCGCTCGGTAGCGACGCAGGTGCGTGCTGCTGTCCTTGTATTGATGACCGTTTCGCGCGTCATTTCGGCAATCCGCAGCGTCCCCATTCCCTGCTCCCCTCTGGTGGTGATGGGGTGGCGAGGGCGTGGTGGTGGTGTCTGGGGCATTACTCTTTCCGAGGCGTGACAGCAGCGTTGTCTCCCTGCCAGGCCTTATGTTCAGGATGCCCACAGTGCTTGATCCGATCCGATCTTATCTGATAAGATTTGATTCGATTGATTCCTCAAAGCAGCCCAGAGATGCGGGTCGATTGTGTCACTCGCATCATCGTTGCCTTGGAAGCATTTTTGACTTGCCTTCTCGGAATTGGTTTCTTATCGTGTGCGAGCGAGAGAGCGCCACTATTCCTCATTCGTCTCAGATGGCATGTTCCCGTCTTTGCATGCAGGATCGTCACCGGGCCTGCCATGCTGCCGAGCCTGCCATGCTGCCGAGCCTCCCGTGGTGCGGTCGCCCGTCCTCGTCCGCCGTTCCTGATGGTGGGGCCGTGGTGTCGTGACGTGACGTCATCATCATCACATGTGAGTAGCAAGGCCTTTGCCGTCTGTTGCAGCATATGTGCAGCATGGGGATGTTGGCATGGGGATATGAACACAATGCACTAGCACTGTCACCTGCTGCGTGTCCGCATTCGCGGCACATCTCGAACATCTCACGTCTCGCATGTCTCACATGTCTCGCATGCCTCATACATTCCACTGCACATGGCGCCTTATGTCTTCAAAGCGCAGCTCAACCCACTGGCTGTGCTTTTAGTGAAGGGTGCCTACAGCGCTGCCTTGCAGAGGGGTGGGAGCGATGGGAGCTCTGAGTGGGCCGAACTTGCTTTGCCATGGCAGTCTATCTCGATCTTGGGCTCCTGTCCTCCATGCACCCCTCACATGCTGTCACGCGGCCATGCTGACATGCTGCTATTCTTCCATGCTGCCATGCTGCCCTTCGGCCATGTGGCTCATTGTGCCTGCCAGCATGCCAAACCTGAACCGCTGGCACCGTGTGTATTCATTCTGTCCCGGACATGGACGCATGTGCAGGTATAAGTGCTGTTCGCAGCAGCAATCAGCCACTGCACTGCACTGCACCATGGTTCACATGTGGAGAGTTTTGAGACGTCTCAAAAGTCGCAGCAGCAAGGAGCCACTGCACTGCACTGCACCATGGTTCACATGTGGAGAGCCGCACTGTGGGTGGCTGCACCTATGTTTGATGGGACGCCTTGTGATGCTCCTTGCAATGGGTTGCTGCGGCCACAAAGCCTGGACTAGCAGCCATAGACGCATGTGAGTGGCACCTTGTGTGTGCATGTACGCCCCCCCTAGAGACACCAGCACCCGTTTGGCATGGCTCCCTGAATTGCCGCGGGTGGGGCGTCTGCCGGTCGCCGACGTGGCAGTCTGCCGCCCCACGCGCTTATGAGGGCAGCCACACCAACGCCTGCCAGCCTGGCTGCTCCTGGAGTGCGGGTCACTGCTCTGTTGCCCGCACCACCATCATGCACCAGGCACAGCCCTCCTCACATCCTTTCCAGTCACTTCTGAAGAGTCACCTGGCTGTTTCTGGAATGCGGGTCGCTGCTCTGTTGCCCGTACCACCACCATGCACCAGGCACAACCCTCCTCACACCCTTTTCAGTCACTTTTGAAGAGTCACCTGGCTGCTTCTGGAATGAGTGGGGCGCTACTCCGTTGCCCGCACCACCACCATGCACCAGGCACAGCCCTCACCAAATACTCTGAATTCTACTGGCCCAAGTTTCCCGTTCTCCAGTTTCTCCTTCCCAGCCAGTCGTTCCTCAGTGCTGTCAAGTCAAATTGGTTGATGTTTTCCCTTACCGTACGTTTATTTTTCCATTGCCCTTTTCTTCCTTGTGCCTCCTTCTCCACAGGCAGGCAGAAATTTGACATGCACAAGTGGAGTTTTTCTGTACAATCCACGACATTTATGTTATGAGAAAATGGATTCAATTGATGAAGAATGCTGAGTGATATCGTACATGCTTTAGTGTTTGCTGAAATACTTATTTAGAATGCAGAGTGATCTCGACAGGTGTAGCGTGGCAGTCAACAAACTAGTTCAGCAGTGACATTTCTTCGGAGCTTTCGTGTTTGCTGAATTTGCTCGTCAATCATTTTCAACCAGCTGCCATCCACTCTAAGCCGCTATGAGAATTTTGGTAACGACGCGTGTTACTGTTCTTCGCAACTCGCGGCTCCGACCATTGTCTCCGAGCTCCAGCGAAAGCTCGCGAGCACGATTTGAATACTTCTCCCCCACTCGCACAGCACCCACTTGCAAGCATCCGTTGTCGCACTCGCATTCACCCACCCCCCCCAGCGCCGTCAGACGGACCGATTCATGCGTGACGAAAGCAGAATAGCTGGCGAAAACTGCCGAGCGCAGCTGGCGAAACTGCCGCGGTCCGAGTCAGAGCAGGCATCAGCCGTCGTCATGCCATGCCATGTTCCATGTTCCATCCACTCAACTCACCTCCTCGGTAGCGGCATGTGCGTTTGCACGTGGACGTGTCACCCTAACTTGTCCGATTTGCCCGCCACAACACAGCGAAGCTTGCCACACCCCCACCGTCCCCTGCAGCAGTGGACATCTCCTAAAAGTCGGTGGGCTCGTTGGTTCGTCCGCTTTCCGTTTCTAGAAATCCTGCATTTTGCAAACACGCCCTCACAATCGGTTCCCTGACATAAACCATCTCTCGCTGACCTCTCATCTGCTGTAATCGTTCAAGATCAGACATAGCGATACATGCTCGATAATTTCTCTTCCAACCGACACTTCACCATTCCATAGCACAATAAAATCATACTCTACCCACAGCAGCGCGCCGAACATGGCGCTAAAAGACAAGGTTGTGCTGAAAATGGGCGACACGATCGTGGACGTGCTGATGGGCCCCGTGTACGTCGAGAGCGTCGTGCACCAGTACCCGAACCACGCGGTCTTTTCGCCCGCCGACGCCAGTACCGCCTCGCTTTTCGCGAAGCGCGAGGGGCCGCTACCGCCCGGGCGGGTTCTTAAGCCGGGGCGCTGTTACCACCTCGTGCGGAAGGCGCAAGGGAAGGCGGGGGGAGCGGAGTGCGCGCACGTGGATGAAGGCGGGACGGGGCGGAAGCCTCCGCGGGATTTGCGCAAGACGCCTTCCGCCAACGGCAGGAACGAGGTGAGGTTACGAGCTGGTTTCGGCCGTGCTGCTGTGGATTGAACGAACCGAGCGGGTTGCTTCTCGTTTTTAAATAAAGCAAGTTTCGCGAATTGAGCGAATTCGCGAGCAAATTGAGCTCGAAGGAATCGTGTGAAAGCCTTCAACACGCGACGAAGCATCGAGCGTTGCCGTGACCATGCTAGATTCTAATGATATGCGCTCCGCCATGCTCCTGGTATGGGGTATACGCAAGTCACACTCCCGCTTTAACAGCTCCCACCCGACCTCCCCGTCGCCCCTTCCCTCTACAGCGCAATTTATCTCCGCCCTCCGCGCATCCGCACTCCGCGATTCCGCCACTAGCGCAGGTGCCCGCGCGGTCCCCGCCGCGCGTCACCATTTTCGTGAAGCCCCGCCATCGCGTCAATCACAGCACCAGCGCCCTCCCCGACGTTTCCCCCGATGCCTCTCCGCCACACGCCCGCACCTCCGCCGCCGCAGCTGCAGCAGCCTTACCCACAGGCGCATATTCCCCCGCTTACGCGGATGGCGGAGCAAGTAGGCGGCGCGCGGGAGCGACATGCGGGATGGCGCCGAACGGGAAGACGGGGGAGAGCCACGCGGGGGAAGGGCAGCGCGCTGGGCTGGCGGCTTCCCCCGGACGGCTGATGGTGCCCGCGCTGCGGCGGTCCAGGCGCGGCATGCACCGCCCATGCAAATCGCTGAGCGGAAGTCCGGAGGAGATAGGGGGCCTCGCGGAGGAGGCGTGGGGGGGAGACGAGGACGGGGGGAAGGCGGGGGACGGGCGATGGCGCAGCGCGCATGTGACTCCGCAGGGGAGCGCGCACGCGACGCCGTATGGCAGCCCGTATGGCAGCGCGCACGCGAGTCCCTTGCGCGGGGCGCTGCCCGCGTCATACAGCAAGGCGCCCGCGCCGCCCTGCGCCAGCGCGCTGAGGCCCAGGACCGCGGGCGGGGAGTGGGGCGGGGAGAAGGGTGCGGCGGCGCAGGCAGGCGCAGGGGCGGGGGCGGTGGCGGGGGCGGGGGCGGGGAGCAGTCCGCTGACGCGCAGCCACGGGCGCAGGCACTCGAGTGGCGGGGGGTTGGGGGGAGTGGCCGCGCTGGACGCGGTAGAGGCGCTCATTGGCGCACAGAGGGTGCTGGGCATGACGGAGGCGGACAGGGGGAGGGGCAGGGGGGAGGCGGAGGAGGGAGAGATGCGGAGTGAGGGGAAGGGCGGGCAGGGGTGGGCGGAGGCACTGGTGGAGAAGATGAGGCAGCTGAGTCCGCTGAGGGGGCGGAGTCCTTTAAGGGGAAGGAGTCCCAAGGGAGGCCGAAGCCCCACGTCCCAGCGCGTGCATGCAGCAGACAGCAGCAATAGCGTGGGCAGGAGCAGTGGCAATATGGGTGGCATGAGCGGCGTGGGCAGTATGGGAGGAATGGGTGTGGGGGCGGAGGGGCAGCGCAGCCCTGACCTGGCGCGGCCGCCCTGTGCTGTGCCCAGGAGAAGCAGCTTCAGCCCGCCCCGCATGGCGCCTAGCAGTAGTTTCAGCCCGCCCCGCATGGCGTTTGACCAGGGGGAGCATGCCTGGCAGCAGCACCCTGAGCCCCGCCCCCCCATGCAGCACCCTGAGCCCCGCCCCCCCATGCTGCACCCCCCCACGCCCGTGCTCTTTCTCACCAGACCCGCCCACTCTTCTTCCCCTCCGCCTTCTCAGCGCTGTGCCGCCTCCGCTACCCCCTCGCAGCACTCTCCCCCCCACACTGCCGCCCCCTCACACCGCTCTCCTCCTCATGGTGACGCACACGGGCGGTACCACGGGGCCTCCATGAGCCCTCGTTCTGTTAACCCTCGTTCTGTGAGCCCTTGCCCTGTGAGTGATGAGGAAGGAAGGGGAGAGATGGACACAGAGATGTGGCATGATGGGGTTGGGAATGAGTGGACGAGGCAGGAGCAGCAGGGTCAGCAGGGGCAGCAGCAGGGGCAGCAGCAGCAGCAGGGGGAGCGCGGGGAGGAGGCACGCAGTGAATTGAAGCGCAAGGCACGTGACAAGGGAAGTGAGGGTGACAGGGCCAAGCAGGGGAGCAGGGGCCGTGAAGACAGTGGCAGTGAGGGCAGAGGGCGGGAGCGCAGCCCTTTGAGGCGCCTGCTGCACGCCATCTCCCTGGACAGCAAGGGCAGTGATGGCGACAATCCCAAGGAGGAGGGCAGTGGCCATGGCCAGGAGGGCAGAGGCCAGGAGGGCAGAGGCCAGGAGGGCAGAGGCCAGGACCGCAGCCCCTTGAGGCGCCTACTGCACGCCATCTCCCTGGACGCCCCCTCCCGCCCTGGCAGGCCCAGGCGCGCCGTGGACGACAGTATGGTGGGCAGCAGTAGCGGCAAGGCCGTGCACGGCACGCCAGGTGGAGCAGCAGCGGAGGACGTAGAGTGGCAGGCGGCGGTGGCGGCGTTCAGGCGGAGAGTAGAGGTGCTGAACGGGGAGTGCCTGTTCAACTGGTCCACTGTCACAGTGGGCAAGGAGGAGAGGCGCGCTGTGATGTGGAGGCCCGATTTGCCGGACGTGCAGGAGGCGAGTGACGCCGGGTCGTTTGCTGCACCGATTACGCGGCACAAGCGCACGCTTTCGGCTCATATTACCAGCTGGTTGAGTTAGAAGCAGTGATTCATGAGGAGCTGTCCTTGGGGTAAGGAGGAGCGGCGTGCCGGCACAAGCCCACATTGTCTGCTCACATCACCAGCTGGCTGAGTTAAGAGCAGCAGGAGCTTTGGCTGGGGGCACAGCAGCAGCAGGGACTTGGATTGGCAGCGGCCTCTTCAACTGGCCCACGGTGACAGCGGGCAAGGAGGAGAGGCGCGCTGTGATGTGGAAGCCCGACCTGCCCGACGTGCAGGAGGCGAGCGATGCCGGGTCGTTTGCGGCGCCGATTACACGGCACAGGCGGACTCTGTCTGCGCAGATCACCAGCTGGCTGACTTAAATATATAATGTGCATGCACATTATCAGCATGCACTATCACTCACATTGACTACGGTACCTTTGAGCGTCATTTGTTAATGCCGAGTTGACATTGTAAGTGTAGTGTGCCCGTGCTAAGCATATTTGATTAACACAGTATCCGTAAAACCCTCTCCCATACAGTACCCTCCGCCCCTCCGCCCCTGTCTAGATTTGAACCGGAGACCTTTCTTATCGGAATAATTTGTCTATTATCTATCTGAACTAGTTCCCGTGTTCCTGTGTTCCTGGGAAAAACGGCGGTGCAGTGTGAGTGGAAGAGGTAGAGGGGGGGTTGCTTGAGTGTGAACTTGGAAATGATGTGTGAGAAAAGGGGTGTAGGTGATGGAAGGTGCAAAGCCCAAGAGGCTCTCGTTATTCTTGGTCACTTTACCAGCTTCGTTGAGTTAATCAATCAAAAAGCAAGCAATGTTATGCTTTCAGGCATTGGAAAGGCCCTCTGAGCTAATTTTTCCTATATGCTTGTAAAGAGCAGCAGCTGACTGGTGTTTATCCTACCGTAGCGACATGTGGAGCATTGTTATGCTAACTAGTGCCTTCCCTGTCACGGGCACAGTGCCAACTGAGCCATTGCTACGAGACTAGCGTACCAAACCAACACCTATGTGACACCGAATGCAGTCGAGGTAACATGGATCCATCCAAGGAATCAAGCAGAAGCATCGCCAGCAGGCTTGCAATGCAGGCACAGCCAGGCACACAGATCACGAGGCTGCCTGTACTCTGCAAGCCGGTGCTGCCCCTGCTGCTCCAGCAACAGCTGCTGCTCCCCCGCCCTGCTACTGCACGGCTGCCCTCACCGTGGCGCACGGCAGCATGGTTGACGTGCAGCCAGGACCCGGCCTGAGGCTCACTAGGCTGCTGCCTGTATCCTGCCTGCCTGTGCTGCCCCCGCTGCTGCTGCTGCTGCTCCCCCGCCCTGCTGCTGCACGGCTGCCCTCACCTTCGCCTGCAGCACCATCGTCACCTCCTCCAGTAGCTGCCTCTTGGCACGCGCCACCTGCTCATAGAGGGGTGGGGTGCGGTGGGGAGTGGTAAATGTGGTGCAGAGAGGTTAGGTGTGGTTGGCCTGCAGCACCATCGTCACCTCCTCCAGTAGCTGCCTCTTGGCGCGCGCCACTTGCCATTGATGGGGTGGGGTGGGGAGTGGTGAAATGTGGTGCTGTGCAGTGGGGTGTGGTTGGGTGGAGCGCCACCTCCTCCAGTAGCTGCTGCTTGGAGCGCGCCACTGCTTTCTGCTTAAGAAATAAGGTGGGGGACGAGAAGCATGGGGTGGGGTGCGGTGGGGAGTGGTTGAGGGTGATGTGGGATAAGCGGTGTCGTGTGATTGGGTGTGGTGGGGGATGGGAGGGATGTGTGGTTGGCTCCCACATCACCACCCTGAGCAGCTCCGCCTTGCGCATGCAGTACCGTCGGGTGGGGTGCAAGGCATGCACACGGGTAAGAGGGTGGGAGGGAAAGAGTGCAGCATACATGGGCGGCGGGTAAGGAGGGAGAGAGGGCTCCACCTCGCTGAACTTGTCGTGGTTGGCTCTAAGCAGCTCCGCCTTGCGCATGCAGTACCCCATCGCCTCCTCCACTGACTTCTGTGAGCGCTCAGCCCAGCATGCATGCACCACATGCACCACATGCACCACATGCACCACATGCACATAACACACATGGGACACCCAGGTAGTGCCGGGTAGCACACCATGACACACATGACGACAAGGGACCCCATGCACCCCACACACAGTGTTCAGCAAGTCCAAAGGGAGCACAGGGGGGAATGCGGGATAGTGTTATAACGAGCGGAGCAGACATGCAGGGCGGAGGCCCAACAGCAGCACCGTGCATGGAATCTTGAACAGGGCTTAACATCACCTCGTTGTAATGAACTTGATTTAGTCAATAATCAGCTCAACATAGTCACCTCGATACAATCACCTCGATATAGTCACCTCCCGATAATCAGCTTGATGTAATCACCTCGAGACTGGTCATCTCGCTATACTCACCTCGATACAGTCACCTCAATACAGTCACCTCGCTACAGTCACCTCGATATAGTAGCCGGCGCCGACGTCAATGAGCACGTGGGAGGGCTCAGCGACGGTGCCAGCGATGTACATGGAACCGGTCAGAGGGACCAGCATGCTCGCACCTGGTGGGGCGGGGGGGGAAAGAGGCAAGGCAGAGAGAACATTAATGAGCACGTGGGTGGGAGGGCTGGGCAGTGCGACGGTGCCAGCGATGTACATGGAACCGGTCAGGGGGACCAGCATGCTCGCACCTGGTGGCGGAGGGAGGGGGAGGAGAGAGCAAAAGATGGCCACAGATGGCCTACAGCTGAGCCTCAACAGACGTCAATGAGCACGTGGGAGGGCACAGCGACAGTGCCAGCGACGTACATGGAACCGGTCAGAGGGACCAGCATGCTCTGACGCTGGTGGGGCGGGGCGCGGAGAGAGAGGAGGGTTGGTGGGAGTTCTAAAATTGAAAGGGGGTGCACTACTGAACCTCAGCAATGTACATGGAGCCGGTAAAAGGCACCTGCATGCTCGCACCTGGTGGAGTGGGGCGGGGAGTGAGAACGAGGAGGAGGGGGGATTAGGTCAACACACGGTCTACTGCTGTACCTCGGTGATGTACCTGGAGCCGGTGAGAGGCACCAGCATAACACAGTGTAGGCTCTTCCCCATCCACCTCCCTATCACCCCCCACTTCTCTCCTCTCCTCCTACACCCTCCGCACCTTCCTGCTGTTTCGCCATGGCCTCAACAGCAGCGCGCGAGGCATCGATGCGGGCAAGGGCAGCGCGCAGGGAGGCGAGAGAGTCGGCGAGCAGCTTCACCCCAACCCCCCCACTCCACTGTGTTTGTAGCGTTCCCCCCACCCCACCTCCCTCACTCCACTGTGTTTGTAGCGTTCCCCCCACCCCACCTCCTTATCACTCCCCACTTCTCTCCTCTCCTACCATCACTGCCCTATCTCACCTCCCCCCCACCTCCCCCCAGCCTCTCCCCACACCCTCCATCTCCCCTTCCCCACCTTCCTGCTGTTTCGCCATGGCTTCCACTGCAGCGCGCGAGGCATCAATGCGGGCAAGGGCAGCACGCAGGGAGGCGAGGGAGTCGGCGAGCAGCTTCACCTCGCCCTCCACCTGCTCCACTGTCTAGGCTCTCCCCCACCCCCCCCTCCCTTTCACCCCCCACTTCTTCCCCCCTCCACTGTGTGCTCTCTCTCCCCCACCCCACCTCCTCCCCCCACACCCTGCGCACCTTCCTGTTGTTTCGCCATGGCTTCCACAGCAGCGCGCGAGGCATCGATGCGGGCAAGGGCAGCGCGCAGCGAGGCGAGAGAGTCGGAGAGCATTTTCACCTCGCCCTCCACCTGCTCTCGGATCTGCCGCACCTGCTCCACTGGCAGACGCGGAATGTCCTTCACCGATATCTGTTGGGCATAGCAGGGCAGGGCCGAGGGGGACACGGGGGGGCGGAGGGGGGAAAGGCAGGGGGCAGGGGCAGGGAATCACTGGAGTCGCTTAGCAGCTTCACCTCGCCCTCCACCTGCTCTCGGATCTGCCGCACCTGCTCCACCGGCAGGCGGTGGGAATGGGGTGCAACGGGTGGGCGGAGGGGCGCACGGGATCGATGGCGTGCGACGGCCAGGCGCGCTCAGCGGGATGCCCTTCAGCGCCAGGCGCGCTCAGCGGGATGCCTTTCAGCGCCAGGCGCGCTCAGTGGGATGCCCTTCAGCCCCAGGCGCGCTCAGCGGGATGCCCTTCAGTGCTAGGCGCGCTCAGCGGGATGCCCTTCAGCGCCAGGCGCGCTCAGCGGGATGCCCTTCAGCGCTAGGCGCGCTCAGCGGGATGCCCTTCAGCGCTAGGCGCGCTCAGCGGGATGCCCTTCAGCGCCAGGCGCGCTCAGCGGGATGCCCTTCAGCGCTAGGCGCGCTCAGCGGGATGCCCTTCAGCGCCAGGCGCGCTCAGCGGGATGCCCTTCAGCGCCAGGCGCGCTCAGCGGGATGCCCTTCAGCGCCAGCTGCACGCACGGCGAGGCGTCGTGGGCCGACGCGGGGAGACGTGGGGCGCGAGATGCGATATGAAGGCACGGCAGGCTACGCGATTTTATGGGATCGCGCACAACGGATTGGCGCGAAGGGCGCGCGCTTAGCTGCATGGCGCGAGTGGGGAACAGCAGCACGCACGGCTTACCCGTGTGGGGCCGACCTCACCTGTGTGGGGCCGACCTCACCTGTGTGGGGCTGACCTCACCTGTGTGGGGCCGACCTCACCTGCGTGGGCCCTAGCTGCTGCTGCTCCGCCATGCCGACTCAAGCTGCTGCCCTCCCCGCCGCTATCACGATCCGCCCCGCGCCCTCTGCCTCTCCTCGCGCGCCTCGCAGCAGCCACGCGGCAGTCGCACCGCGCGAGAGGCAAGATCGGAGGGCCGAGGGGCACGGTGCGAGAAATTAAAGGTGGCGGGTGAAGCGCGGGAGAGACGTTGTTTGCTAACCGCTGGTTGCGGCGACTACACAGAGCTCGCTGGATGGCGCGGCGCGTTGAAACGAGTGAATCTGATCGCTCGATTTGACGAAGCGACGAGGCGGGCACTGAAATGAACAGGCACAGATGGATTTTGGCGAGAAGCTCCTGTTGGATTTTTGTGTGCGTTCTTGGTTTGAAGTGGCAGAAAGGATAGTTTTATGTTTGTAGGCGCTACAGAGTTGGAGATACTACACCCGCCCTGGCTAGTAACGCGTACCTCATCAGCTCCAATCTCGGCCCGTTTTATTCACGAGCCTGAGCCACGTCACGGCTCTGCCTTGGTTTGGGAATCCGAAGCTGCGAACCTGGTTTCGCCAGTACAGTGTTTTTTTTCTCGAGGCTCCAGTTGTTCCGAAGCCGTTGGGCCTTCGTGCGCGAGACGCGTTCTAGGAGTCTTGTGCGTCCCGCCCGCCGTGCCATCCTTCGCCGCGCTGCCTTGTCCGAAACGAAACTCGGCGCACTGAACGCTCTCGACTCGCCGTATTAGATCCACTAAGGAACGTCGTTACTTTTAGTCTCCGGCTCTTGCCGTCCTCGTCGCCGCCGACCGTTTACTCACGCGGCGCCACCAGCACCATGTGGCGGGTGGCGTGTCGCGAGGCGCGCAAGCAGGTCGCGTCGCTGACCCATGGGCCCGCGTGTCGCGGCGCGCACGGCGGTCCGTATCCGCTGCATTCCCTCGCGCACGCCGCCCCGCCCTCCGCCGCCACGCCGCATCACGCGCGCCTCATCCCGTCACTCGTCGTCCCTCGCGGCCCCGCATCCCTCGCCGCCAACGCGACGCGCATCGGCGCATGGCGGCACGCGTCGCCCCTCGCCCTCACGCTCACCTCCCCCTCGCTCTCCGCTCTCCGCTCCGCCCTCACGCATTCCTCCGCCACTCTCTCTTCCGCCACCCTCTCCGCCGCCGCCTCTCTGCCCGCCACCGCGCGCGCAAGCATCGCCGTCCCCGCGGCAGGCGCGGCGGCAGGGCGGGCGGCGGGCGTGAGCGTGTGGAAGCACTACGGGCGGTGCTACTACGAGCTCAGCAAGACGCGGCTCAGGTGGGTGGGGCGCGGCTCGGTGGTGGGTGGGCGCGCGCGGGGAGGCGGGGAGCTGACACGTCCCGTTGCGCTGGATGAGAAGATGACGCCTTTTTCGTTTCTCCCTCGTGTGCCTCACCTCATCTCGCGCGTATCGTCCACTCACCACAAACAGCATCTTCCGCTGCGCACAGCATTCCCACTATTCCCCTCCTCCCTCTGCCCCTCACCCCCTGTCTCCCGCCCCCTGCACCCGTCACCCCCTCCTCTCTTCCGAACCCTTGCGCTTGTGGTTTCCCCGTGCGCCTCTCACCCTAGCTGACTCCTGTCCCCTTGTGCCCCTTACCCCCTGCCTCCTGCCTCTTGCTCCCCTGCGCGCGCGCCTCTTACCCCCCTGCGCGCCGTTCACCCCCCAGCCTGCTGGTGGTGGCGACAGCAGCAGCGGGGTTTGTGATGGGCAGTGGCGACCACGTTGAGGTTTAG